GAGAAAATGAACATGCCATGCTGAGTTACAAAATAACCAATCTAAGAAAAAAAGATACCTCTTTGACGAGCTAGGATCAAAATACTTTCACAAGACCAGATATTGCCACAGAAAGATGAAGAAACGAGTGATACAGTTGATCTCTTTGTCTTTTTACGATTGAAAACACTAATTGACAGCAAATACATGCTCTAATCAGACCGAAAAAAGGAGTTATTTTTAAATATATTTATCTATAAATTAAAGCCAAGTGGGGACTGTTAACAGACCAAGAGACATGAACAGGAGAGAGGGATAGAATGATTTTAATTTGTACGTTGTATAGTAGAAATTAAATTATACAGAATAGAAACGGATATGATGGGAATGCCTACGAAAATTCACTGACAGCTTTTTATTTTCTTGAAAGATGATATTCAAGAAAATAGAAACTCAAACTTTCATAATCCAATTGGAGAATGACACATTGGCTCTCATATGAATATTCCTTAAAAATCGTGCTTTATTTTACAATTGAAACTTATTCTAGGAAATCTGTTAGAATTTTCTTTTTTCGGGAAGCGATAATTCTCTTTTATATATAACGAGTTGATCTAAAGATTTGCCAATATTTACAGATAATAACTAGCTATATGCAAACAAAAGAAACGAAAATATAATGATACTAAAGCATACATTGCGTATTTTAGCAAGATTTGACAGAATTAAAAAAGTCTATTCGATTAAACTCTTCTTAACAGAAGGTGCGGATCCGAGTCTACTCTGCGCCTAAATTCGCACACGAAGAACTTTTAGATTTTTTCCTGACAAGTTTCTGACGTTGTCTTTTCGCAACATTCAAAGATTTATTTTACTTCATTAAAGTTCATCAATTTTGTGCTCTGAAATAGGCAACTTCGTGTTCAATGGCATTCATAATAAAAAGTTTAATAGCATATTGCCTTCTGCACTTTTGTTCGGTTTTCTATCAATATGTTAAGTCAAGATTCTGGTCTTTGCTGAGAAGCATTTTTCGGAGTTATCTCCTTTGGCATTTATCTTTCAATGATTTTTGTAGTAACCTTTTTGCCATTTCTGTACTATCTATGGTAAGAGAGCTCACGATTAGATTTAACAATGACTATTCGTTCAATTTGTTTCACTGATTGTACTCCTTCACCACCACGGTCATTGAAAGTTGCAGCTCATAAAAATATGAATAAAAAACGCAAAAACTCAATAAGCTGTACTCTTCGTTACTTTTTACTAGAGTACTGCAACAGCTTTTGATTAACGCAAAATAAAAGCTCTGTAACAAGTTGAAAATTTGTAAGCAATGCTTTGAAATGGAATTCTTTTGGCTTCTGAGAGACCTGCTGCGGTCGAAAAAATGTTTTTCTAACCATTTATAATGAAAAGAAACTCGATCAAAATATGTAGTGGCGTTTAATATATCGTGTCGGGCAATTTTTTATTCGTTGTCTTCATCTATCCAACTAGAAAAATGTAGGCTTTTTTCGACAGTCGTCAGTTTACAAGGTGTCCTTTTGACTTCATAGTTGTAAAGACTTTCGCTTTGATTGAAGCCAGAGAATAATTCGCTGTGAAAACTTATTTCGAGCATTGTCTATACGTGTCTGACTGAGTACGAGTGAAAAGAAGATCTTAACTCATCCTGTGCACATGCAATATTCATATAAACACTGTTAAGGTATGAAAATAAATTATTCAAATAAATCTGGACAGGAGAATACACTTGAAAAAGCTGAAGCAAAACATACTGCATTGATTCACATGAGAAAATGAGGAGTGACGTGATTCCGAATTGAGGCTAGCGTATCGATAGGCATTGAGTGATATATATGAAAAACACTGATGTCGAACCTTACTGACCGAGTTTGATTTTCAAGCGAAAGACTAGCATGAACTCTTTGCTTTAAATTATTTTAGATAATAATAGCATAGTCTTGTTCTCTGATTGTTTTCATTCAAAGTTTTACTATTTACCTGAGATTTTTTCGCACAAACATATATCATCTGTGGTTAATAATGCATCGATGTAATATGGTATTTGTGTTGACTTTGATTCTGCTATCACTGCTCCATTAACAGCACGTAATACCTTTGAAATATCAGCATCAGGTGTTACAATATGTTTCAGAAGATGCTTCGTAAATAAAGCATTGTCTTGTTCTTCGTTGTCATCTGCCTCAGCTCCAGGTGCACAGGCGAATCCTACTAACAACCCAGCCATGACAAGATCTTTGCGATTACTGGGTTTAGAGGCACTTGAAAAAGGATTTCGCGCAGTTATTTTCTTTAAATGGGGATTACGAAGGCAGTACACTCGACAACAGTCCAAAAGACATATTATTACAAATGGACATCGATCACTAAAATCTTCTAGGAATCTTTGTACATGAATCATATATTGCTTTAACTGTTTGTAATCTATATCTGCATTGTCTGCCGTTTGGATTGTCATTTTCTTTAGAGATAACACGATTTGTTGAATATCAGCCTCATTGCTGCTAGCATGTTCTATAGGTATCAAGAAGTTTTGATCCTAGAAGCATTATAAAATACGATTTTCAAGACTTGTCCGTTGTACTCGACATGACTAAGTATTTTTAATCTTTCTTCTGAGTAAAAAATTTTCATCTAACAGCACAGACGAAAGCCACTCTACTGTATCAGAGAAAAACAGACAATTTTTCCATAATGGAATTTGGTATTATGTCGTCAGAAGAGTCTCTCCGTTTTAGATCAGTCGTATAAACTCGTCAAAAATAAAAACAAAATCAATTCATATTCGTAAAACCTTGAATACGTACTTCCCATTGTACTCCATGGCCAGAAAAATAAAATAAGACCATGTCTCCTTTATCTATTTTTCGCTTAAAGTTCGTGATGCTATCCTCCATTTCGTCATATGTTGCATTTTTTTTCTTTGTAACAGTGAAACCAATACGTTTCAGCGTAGATTCCATAGCATCGGCATCATTAGATGGATTTTTTAACTTTTTAAGATATTCATAGTCACTATTACCAATTACAAGAGCCATTTTACGTCTTGATACAGTCTTGGTTTGATTTTTTGCTTCAGCCATTGTTGGAAATGGTTTTTATCTGAAAAATCTATTTCGTAACTCGAATATTTTTTGAAGGTGTGTCTGGGTGAGCATAACTATGTCATACGCACGCCCAACATATGGACAACCACACACTCACACCCTGTACACATTTCGAAACTCTTGATGCAAGCTAATGTACTTAAAACCTTCAAATCGAGTTAGTTTTAAGACGAAAGTCGAAAATACGATCTGTCCGAAAAGCTAAGGTTCTGCAGGAGTTTCTGAATAATAGAAATATTACAAAGTCAATAGCTCCTCTAAGTTCTTATTGAAACCCAAATTCTATTCAAGCGTGCATTAGAATACTATTTGGTATCTATAGATAAAAAAAACCATTGAAATCAAAATAGAATTCCTAGGTAGTTTTTTCGTTGGTGGATTATTTCTCCTTCTCAGTAATTAGCCAGAGTTTTACTTAGTCGATAGATAGATAGTTATTCTTATGTCTTCTGAAATCATAGTAGGATGTGAGTGGGTAGGTGTGTGGATGTGGGTGTGGGTTTTGAGTGTGGATGTGGAGTGTGGTTATTGTGTGTGAGTGGATGAGACTCTTATTTTCACCTACACCCACGTCCACACCCACCCTGAAAAGGTTTTTGGTTTCACTGCTAAGCATTTCTATGTTACACAAAGGTTTCACACTCGCTGTTAACGATCCACACATTCTTCTCGATAGACAAACTTTCGAAGCGTGAAAGTATCGTCTTTAGTCCTTATCTTATGAAACTACCAGTGACATTATTTTGATAACGTATGATCAAAAAGTTTTTGGACAAAATATTTGTTCACTTTTGACCAACTAGAAAGTATTTCGGATGAGTCAAAAGCTATATGTTAGAACCAGAATTTTGTGCTTTCTTCAAATATGGGCTCAGAAATTTTGTCCCAATTTTTGTTCGAGAATAGTGAAATAATCTTTGAGAAGTCCGAAAAATGAGTTTGGACGGAGAGTTTTTCCACACACGTTTGTATTTTTACTACTACAACTCGAAACGAAAAGTTGGGGTCTTTATTTATAGATCATCTTGTAGACCAAAAATTGCTCTACAAAACGCACCATTCCACTTTTTTTTTCTTTTGACAAAACTCCTCAATTTTTCTTTTTCCGGAATAGTAATTTTTTTAAAAACCGACTTTTTGATCAAAACTGTTCCACTTCGAAAAGAGATCTTGACAAAATGGTTGTGACTACAGTTAAGTAAAAGCTACAGCTTATGTCAACATCACACTTTGTAGAGAATTGTTTGCTGTACAAAATGACCGATTTGAACAATTTTTAGCATCTTCAAAAAAGAGCTTATAGGGTGGAGAAAACCATGTTACTTCATCATTAAAAAACGAGTAATCATTTTTCAGGTCTTTCCAAAAAAGATCGTCACTGCGTTTGAAGAAAAAAGATACAACATTTTTAAGCCCATATTCAGAGACAGCACAAAATTTTAGTCGTAACTTATAGTTTTGACTCGTCCGAAATGGTTTCAAGACGGCCAAAATCAAAAAGCATCTTTATCACGAATTTCAACCAACAAGTTCCGTCCAAACTCATTTTTTGGACTTCTCAAAGATCATTTCACTATTCTCGAACAAAAATTGGGACAAAATTTCTGAGCCCATATTTGAAGAAAGCACAAAATTCTGGTTCTAACATATAGCTTTTGGCTCGTCCGAAATACTTTCTAGTTGGTCAAAAGTGAACAAATATTTTGTCCAAAAACTTTTCGATCATACGTTAGTTCGATCTCAATATCGATAATCGCAAAAAAGGTCATGAACAGCATAGGGCACACGCGTAGAAAGCTAATCATGTAAAATGTAGATAAAATTCTACAAGAAAGAACGATTAAATCAATAAAATTGTGCGATGCATCCAGGCAAATACACTCGATAGACTTCTGACTAAGAATAAATCATCAGTCGATGAGATAAACGGAAGTTCGTGATGAATATCCATTTCATTTTTGTCTCGATTCTGTGTAATTAATATTCTAGCCATACATTCGTTATACTTATGATGTTTAAAAAAATCGAAGATCTGCTAAGGAACCATAGTTATATGTTACTTACCGAGATACAATAATCAGAATAAAATTTTTCAAAAAGTTTCAATAACAATAATTTCCAACTTGGTTGAATGTTTTATATGCAAAATGCGTCGTTTGTTTGCCAAGGGACTCTTGTGTTACTTGTGCAACATAAAAAAGCTTTACTTATTTTTCTTTTTTCTCTTTTTTTTTCGTTTTTTTTAATTTCTGTTAATCAAGCGTTTTCTTGAGAGGTACTGCTCATGGTAACAGTAAAATACACAACACGGAGAGTAGACAAACAATAACGGCAAACAAAAAAAAATATTGGTAAAACGAAATACATTTCAAATAGACCACAAGCATTGATATTCATTTTTGTATGATGTGAAACTGTTGGCATTGTTGAACAACAGACAATGATAAATAATGATAGACTTCCTTCAGTATCAGATAAAGAAAGGAAACTAACATTAGTATGAACTTGCGACAAGTTTTCAGTAAGATAATATAAAAATTAATAATTTTCAACATAGTCATGATTAGCTGAACTGTGTAAAGAATATAGAAAAATTGACATATTCATCTTATTTCTTCAATACAAGAAAGAAAACAACTGCAAAAGGGTGTGGATGTTGATGTGAGTGGGTGAAGAGAAGATATACAGAGCATCCACATCCACATCTACACCGTCATAAAATATTCATAAAATAGACTCATTTATTTGGAAGACAAGCTGAAAAATTCTTTTCTCATATTATGCTCTCAATTTGATAATTTTTTTCTTTTAGAATTTATTACATGGAAATCAACTTTTGAGCAAAGTAATAGTTTAGCATATGTGAGCAATTGTGATTCAAAAGTTTAATCTAAAACTGAAACGAAATATTATTGGTATTATTATGGTAATCGAAGATAATTTTTTAAGTAATTTCATCTTGAAGATATTTGCTCTTTTATTTGAAAACCTTTGAAAAACATTTTAGATAAACAAACATTATGTTATTAATTGTATATTATCAATCAAAGTTTATGTAGCTAGAAATACTCAAATATTCGTACAGTATTATCTAGTAGATTAGAATCATGCAGGTGAACTATTATCAACTACTCATGGTAATTCAACTCTAGTAATAACAAATAGTGAATTAGTTGAATAACTATTAATATAAAAATAGCTATTGATCATTGTATTAGACTTCGATATCAACATCATTTAATGATAAAACATGCGAGAATTCTGAAGATTGCTAGAAGAATTTAAGAAATTCGTTAGACTTAATACTGTATAAATGAGTCATAGAATTTTTTTTCTAAATTCAAAATGATCGATTCAATTAATTCTTTTATTCTTCTCAATTGTTTATTAATAATGTGATTAACTATATGTCAATAATTGAATAAAAGATTGTTATTAGATAGAATATCATTGATTATAAATTATGTCTTACATATATTAAAGAATATTTGTATTAAATTAAATTTTAAATAGAATCTTCAAATATACCGAAGATCTCTAATATGCTAAATTAATAAATATTTTAAATAACTTTTTAAATTGTATAGAATATTATTCTGAGAACATAATCAATATTATTTTGATGGCATATCTAAGAATATTTGAGCACAACCATTCATGAGCAACGTGAATTTTCAAAATTAAAAAGCATATATTTCGACATAATGAACTTTCCTAGAGCTAATTATTATATGTTCAGTTATTCTAGGTACCTTTGAAAAAATTATACCTGAAGGCTTTTTTTTCGTCAAAATTATCATCAAGAACCTAGTGTTAACAACATGACTCGTAGAAGGATATTTCTTTTCGTTTTATAAATTTTAGTTTAAAAAAGTTCAAATGACAGTAACATGATCGAAAACTAATAATTAATACATTTCTGTAGACACACTCTTGAGACTAAACAATCTCTATCGAAAGTTTTTCTGAGCATGCATAGATTTTTCAAAAATTTGGATTTACTTTTCGTTCGCGCAACATAGAGGACTTCTTCAGAATCGATAGATAATGATAAGAGAAAAAACATTTGTGTTGAAATTCGATAGGATGTATAGAAAACTAATTTTGAAGAGGAAAATAATTATTAATTATAATTACACATCAATTGAAAGAGGTAACATTTTTACGTATGCCTATAGTAAAAAAGAACTTATTCAGAATAATTTCTATTTTCTTTTTTCGTTTTTTCTACTTTCAATTACAACAATTATATTTTATTGCAGATAATATAATAATGGTAAAAACAATGAAAAAAATTCTTATTGATGCACAAAATGAAGTTGAAAATATCTTCATAATTTAATATTATCATTCATTTATTTAAGGTATATGAAATACAAGAAGAATTATCTTCAATAGAAAATGATCTACAACGCTATTGTCTAGTCGGAAAAAATACGAGGTAACCATAACAAAATTTATAAAAATAGTTTTTAGATTTCTTATTCTTTTTTTTCAATTTAGACAAAATCTTCATGAATATAGGTAGAAAGAAGAAAACTGTAATAGGTACTGATCATCGATACCTTCTACTGGTCGAAATAATGAATTTAATCGTATTTAATATACAGCTAAATTTTGTAAGAATGCAATGTATAGAACAGTACGTCATCAACAAACTGTATTAATAATTATATCGCAATATTTATATTTTTGAACAAATGCTGCATTATTTTATTTGTTTTCAAATTGTATTTATAACAAAGCAATAAATAAGATCCGATATTGGAATTGAAAATGAATAGTCCTATGAAACAGCATCACATTTTTATCTAAAAAAATTAGATTATAATAATATGATATAAAAGAAAACTTTTTAAAAAAAATTTTCTATTAATCTGTAAGTGTTCCATGTTTATACTACATATCAAAGACTGTTTTATTTTTGTTATCATTAAACGAAAATGTAAATTCTTAAGGTTGGTAACTTGAGTGAATTTTGCATGGATCATTGAACGAATACTTTCAAAATTTTGTTCAATTAGAGAACAAATAGATATGGCTAAAATATTTTACAGATTAGTTTGTAAAATGAATGTTAAAAATCGAAGCTCATTTTAATAAAGAAGGGTGTGGGTGGTTGTGCGTATGAATGAAAATAAGAACTGCACTCACACCCACACCCTCATATTGAGTAGAAAATTAAAGTCTGTAAACAAAATGATGCATGCATTCGCTTGAACATCTGAAACAGTTAGGTTACTTTGAATCAGTCGACAATAATGACTCAGTTTTGTCTGAATTCACATAAAAACAAGCAGAATTTTATATAGAATATTGTAGCATACTTCAATTTTTAGCAGATCCGTTTCTAAAAGCTCTCTAATTTTTTCGCTTTTTTCACTTTCGCACTCAACTTTGCTGTGACGCGAAAAATCTATTCGAAAAACAAAGTCGACATTTTTGTAGAGAATTAAGTTCTCTATTAACTGACATAAAAGTCAAAGTTTTAAAATAAATTGTTAAATGCTTCAACGATAGGAAATAAAAATGAGTCATTTCTAATGCAGTATCTGTTGTCTTCCATTTTCAGAGAAAAATTTTATAATTTTTCAAAAGAATCTTGAATTGAATTTTCTACTGAGGGAGGTTTGTCATGTTAGCGGCAGATCCTGCACATCTGGTAAGAAGAAATCGAATTCTTTTGACAAACAGTGATATAATAATAGTAAAACTGCATTTGAAGAATACAACATATCTAATAATCATCTTTATTTTCTTTTAGACTTTTCAATAATGAAATATATCAATAAAATTTAGTTTAAACTAAAAACAACTTTATGAATTATTTAGTTTTTTTTTCATTGAGCTTCCATAATTAGTTAAATTTGTACACAAAACTTTCTATGTAGAGAATAAAACAAACGACTAATCGATCAAATTAATATTTATAACTTACAATCAAACTATATTTTCGGCATATGTCATAATAATGAGAAGGAATAGATAATTGAGAAAAAAAGACGTTTTTTTTTCATAGATGTTGAGTCGATTCTTCAAGTCAATGTTGTTGTCGATTAGTAGATAATGATGAGTTAAGACTTGTTAGTGTTGGACATATGTAGTTCAGATAAAGAAGATTTCCCGAGTTGTTAGTTGACGAAAACAATATGGTATTGATACTCTTTATTTTTCAGATATAAATAAATAACAAATGGATGTGGATGAAATCAATTTTGATTGAGTGTCCTGATGATAATTAAGATCATATAATTTTTGTATTTTACTATTGCTATTGATAGCGTAGCAAAGGTATAGAGCTGAAGAGATATACATGATTTTGATTTCAAATAGGTATAAAAATTTCGTGCAGAAAAAGGTTCTTTACAAATCGATTACTCCCTTCGATGTGTCATGTGAACAGTACAAGCACATCTATTCGCGTATTTTCGGACTCTTCGTTTTCGGGATCATCGCAATAGAAAATGATAACGTTCAATGCTGACGTCTAGGAGGTAAAAAACACAAAGAAAACTCGCAAAAGACTGCATCAAAGCGATATGAAGCGATCTTAATTTGTGGCAATGGAATTTCAATTATCATAAAATAATGATGAACGGCTTCACCAAGAGTCGATTCTGTCCTGTCGAAGGTTTCCATTATTTCTCCTACTAACAAGAGCTGATTGGATATTATTTCACCAATTTTAATTATCTCGAGTAAAAGTTGGAGGCCAAATCGTCAAAATCGGTGTTTTGTGGAACTTACTGAAGAAAAATGAAAACTCATATTAAAGATTCAAAATTGTTTGGATCATCTCAAGACATCTATCCACCTGATATAGTTCGAACGAATTTCTATCAACTTACCTTTCTCTAAAACATCGCGACACAGGATACAGATTTTGTTACCGCAAAAAAAATAGGCAAAGTATGAAGATCGAATGTGTGTGTGAATGATTACATAAATGCTGTGCTTCGCACCGCATAAAAAATCAATTCTACGAATTTGGTTGAATATCTTACAGGAAATCAGTGTCCTATTTCAAATATTATCGTGCAATAGAGGACTCATTGAGCTATATTTTTCATATATAAAGTATAGCTAATTTTTTCGACTGTGATCAGATACCAGACGATATCACTAAAGCGATCATTAAACATTCGATGAAGCATATTCCATATTTTCAATAACAATAATCAAGATTGTTAATTGTTTAAGACGACCATCAATTAAAGCAAGACAATCTTCAAAACGTCTCACACGAATACATAATTTGTTAAGAGTTGAAGAAAAGAACGTAGTTGAAGGTACATTACTAAGTACCAAAGATGGATAATAGTGTGGATATAATCCAATAATAGATAAATATTTTAGATCTTCAAAGAATTTCAAAACATGTCCATACAGATCTGCCGTATACTGTTTTAGTGATGCTTTATAAGAAGCATTTTCGAATACAAGAATAAGATCTGTAATTTATCGTCGAAGAATTCGTAATGGTGTGTCATCTAAATAAAAAATAAATAGTTATTGTCTAATCCATCTATACAATAGTTTAGAATCTAAATATTTACTCTGATCAATGAGTAAGTTATTTACCTGTAAAATATCATAAAATAGTCCTTCTGTCAACATTCAAGAGTTTAAGTTCAGTTAAATTAGGATAACGGGCAGCATAAACAATACTTTTCATATATGAAGTGCAGAATTGATCAACTCTTAGATCAACAGATGCGAAAGTAGCATTAAATGATGATGTTAATACAAAATTGAGAACACTAGCGAAATCATTTTCTTGTATTATAGTATCAAGTCGTCGATTATTAACACGTAATAATGAATAAAGAACATCCATATTATCGAGCTTTTTGAACAAAGCCATTCGAAGATGTCTATCGTCTATCAATGCATTGACTTAAGTATCTAACTTTAAGATAATTGAAGAAATTTTCAAATACTTTCGAAGGATAACATACTCAAAGAAGAGAGAGAGATAATCATGATGTTTTTGTATAGTAGCAGGATAAAAAGAACATCTGGAACGGATCTAAGCAATAACACAAAATAAAGAAAAGATATGCATGAAAGAAATAATGAGGCAATTTTTAGCTTTTATTGTCTTGAAGATCTATCAATTTGATGCAAACAAAACGATTTATTCTCTATTGAAAATAAGCAGAAGATACAACATATGTCCTATTGTCCACAAGGAGATTGAACATTCATACTAAAAAAAAGACTGTATTCGATATCTTTTCTCATGATGTAATAAAGGCTGAGTTAGGCCGTGTGATACCTTTCGACTAATCGCCTTCATTCTACCACCAGAACGAAGAAAAACGTAATAATTATCATCATGGGCACTATATTGCATGGATTACCATCCAAGATTGCAGGACGCTACCTTTAGTCTCCTGATTACGCTACTAATCTTTTCAAAACTCATAACTTGCTAGAAACTTCAACTGTCCATACTTTTCTTTTGTAAATGAGACATACTTTTAGTAAATTTCAAATAATTCCGATACTTTATTTCTTTAATTATACGCAAAGTCATATTTGATTTCACACTGTATAAAAAAAAAAGAGGATAGTAAGATAAACAAGATTAATATGGATATTCGTAATATCAAACAATGAAACAAAAAAGAATTCTTAATTTTCATTTGTATCTATCATACAAAAAAAAACAACGTAACACAGACACACACACACATATACAAATAGAAATCATCTTTCATAAGGTAAATTTAAAATTTTACCAGTTTGTACATGAACAAGTTTTTGAATTCGTTCAAAACATGGACTATCACGAAACCATGAATAACGAAATAATTGATTCATATCTGGTCGAGCATATGTATTCTTTTCTAATGTTTTTGTTATTATTTCTTTTAAATCTTTTTTTGCATGTGCTACTGAATTTAATGCTCGAATACCTCGTAAACGAAATACAGTATCTCCAACATAAGCATTCAAAAGAGTCATACCAAATGACCAAACCTAAATTAAATCTTATATTAAATAAATCAATATAAAAAGAGTAAAACGAAAATAAGAACTCTCGTTTATTCTCACAAATTATCTTTAAACTATGAATATTTGTTTTAAGTAAAAAACAATCCGAATAAAGAAAAAAAGGATAAATATTATCAGTGAATATATGAGATCTTTTTTTACTATAGCTTTACTGTTCAACTTGAATTTGATAGATGAATCTTCGCAAACCTGAGCTCACGAGGAAAATCCTCGAAAAGGTAAAATCGATGTTTTTATCTCATGATAGGAACAAAGCGAAGATTTGAAATTTTTACAAAGCCTTATCTCTTGGCAAAATTTCAAATTCTACTTAGGATGGTCTAAAAGTTCTGATCACGGCATTTAAAGGACCTTGTTGAATAAGGTGACCTATTTAGAAGTGGAAAACCAAGTCTACTATGTTGTGGAACTTTCTCAGGCACGTTGAACGGTATATAGCGAATCTTCTCAAATACGATTTTGTAGAGTTTTTGACGAGCTAGAATCTCATATACATAGTATCTTCGATCATCTTGTGGGTGAGTATAGATATGGGCGTACTGTTATCTATCAATAAATTACCTCTATTTCCTTCAAAGTCTTATGAAAACAGGGTTTGCTATATACCATTCGACGCGCCTGAAGAAGCTCTACAATCTGGTAGATTTGGTTCTTCATTTCTAAATAGGTCACCTTATCCGGCAAGATCCTTTAAATGCCGTGGCCAGAACTTTTGGACCGCCCTAAATAATTCGAAGAAAACATTTTCCCAAGTGTTTCTAAGAACGATCATAAGATTAAACTGACAATGCACTATCTCGACGGATATAAGCTAAACGCTTGAACTCTTTCAAGATATTCATAACTCATTAGAACCTATAAGATATACAAAAGTCTTGACTAGAAAACAATTTATCAATGGAGAAACTTCACTCATCAACCAATATTTACTTTTTCACTTCACTCTTACTAAATTTTTATTTATCGAACACAATAATCTTTATTCTAATATAAGTTATTCTCAAACTCACATCAGCATTTGTAGAATGTCCAGTTTGAAATTGTACTTCAGGTGCCATAAATTGTTGTGTACCAGCAATAGTTGTATTTAAATATCGTGATGATGCATAAACATATTTTGCAACACCAAAATCACTTAATTTTGCAACTGTTTCTCGTTCATTTGACATAAGAAGAACATTAGCTGGTTTTATATCTCGATGAACCTAATCAAGCATTCAAAACAAAACATTTTCTTTTATTTTGCTTTTTATTTTACTATTTTAAGTCGATGTAAATATGCTAGTGCACAACCAATTTGATAAAAAATAAATTTACATTCATCTTCATCCATAATATATGTTTTATGTATTCTATCAAGTAATGAACCTCCAGCTGCATATTCCATTTCAACAAATAAATCTGATTTTTCATGATAAACATCAAAACGACGAAGAATACACGGATGATCAACAGTACCATGAATAGATCTTTAAAAAATAAAAATCAAAGTATTCTTTTTTTTTTGTTTGTCAATAAATAACTATTTATTTACACTTCTCGATAAAGATATTTTGAAAATCCGGGACCAATTTGTTTTTCACATTGATCTTTATTTATAATTTTAATTGCACGACGTGTATGTGTAACATGTGATATGGCTCTATAAACATTAGCAAATGAACCTGTACCAAGTAAATTTGCTTTTAAATAACGTTCATCAAGATTACTAACACCAAATAAACCTGATAAATGTATAAATCTATATACACGATTTTCTTTTAAAGCAAGAGAACTACAAATAAAAAGTCAACATATTATAAATATGTTTTTTTTTGAACTTACATAATATGTTCACTATTTTGTAATAAAACTTTTGTATGATGAATTAATTCACCATCAATATAACAACCATTTCTACTAACATCACGAAAAAAAATTGTTCTACCATTATCTATAGATTCTATAATGAAATGTTTTGAACTTAAATGAATAAAATATTCATGTTGTCGAAGTTCTTTGGATTCAAGAACAATATCACATTCATTGGGATGACGTCCTATTATATAAGAAGATTTCGTTAATATTGCACGAGGATATATATTATTAATTGGTTCTAAATAACCCCATGGAGTGCAAGACAACGAAGCCATTTGAAAATTTTTTTTATGATGAATACGAATAAATCATCGGACGGATAAATAAAGAAAGAGAAAAAAAAAAGATCACGATCGTCGGGCTATAAGTCATCAACTTTTGTTTTCCTTTCTCTTGTTTTATATTTATGTATATGTGTGAAGTATGTGATAAACGATTATTTATTTACACAATAGAGTAACACAAGAAAAACAGAGTGAATACAATGATTTTAAAAACAAATAAATTGATAGACTAGAGAGAAAAATCGAGTAATGATAGATTCTATTTCATGTACATTGTTCAATAAGCATACTCAAAAGTTGTTCACATTCATCAACTAGTCCATCTACTTCACTATATTGATTATTTTCTACTTGTGTACATAAATTGGAAAGTAAATTTGAAAGTTTATCCGTTACATTACATTCTTGTAAAATCTTAAAACAAAAACAAACTATGATAAAAGAGAAAAAGAAAGTTTTTTTTTTTATTAAAAGAACCTCTTTTGCTTGTTCATATTTTAACATTTGTTTAAGTACACGTAGTGCAAATTCTTGTACAGTGACATGTGTATCATGACAAGCAACATCAAGTAATTTTTCAGGAACTTTTAATTCAATTAAACGTTCGGATAAACGATAACGTGCCAGAAATCCAAGCGTATCTATTTAAAAAAAAAAAAATTCAACAAACAAAAACAAAACAAGAATTTTCATTTTTTTTTAACTTACTAACAGCATGTGATCGAATTTTTGAAATAGTATCATTTAATGCTTGGACAAGAAATGGTGTTAATTCATCAACATATTCATATAGAATTTCATTTGTAGAAATAAAATTTCCCAATAAAAAAAATGCCATCTAAAATCAAAGAAACTTTTTTCCATATGAAAAAAAAAATTTTTTGTTTTTTACCTTTCGAACATGTGAATCTTCTTCGAAACAACATTGTCTTAATTGATCAAGTATGTCTGGATGAGTTTTAAGTGTTGTACAAAATGAACGAGATGATTTTGTCATATGACCCATAAGAAAACAACATTTAGCTTTTGTTAAATTACTTCCAGATAAAGCACGTTTTAAAACATCATAATCATCTTAAAATAACAATATGAATTATGAAAAGAAAAATGAAGTCTATATTTATTTTACTTTTTGGCCCACTGAGAATATCACTTATACTTGAAACAACAGTATCAGTCGTTTTAATTAAATTTGTAAATGTGAAAAATGTATCGCATAAAATAAGTTCACTTTCATTTGTTCCATAGAGAACATTTGAGTAAAATTGGCATAACTAAAGTTTAATATAAGAAAAATATTTTTTATGTCAAAAAGATTATAGATTCTCGAAGAAAACTCATATTATTAAAGAAATAATAAGAGTAAGAATCAGAGATGTCCATGGCGGCACGGCAGCGGCAGAGTTTTTAAAAGCTCATCGCGGCAGCGGCAGCATTTTTTTTCGAGGACATTGAAAAACTGCATGAATTTAATAGAATTTCATTGTTTACAAATGAAACACCCCGAGACTGAATGAATCTGATGGACTAGTACCAATATTTCTGATCCAATACAGTTGCAGCAGTGAAAATCGAAACACTTTTTTAAAAACCATCGCGGCAGCGGCAAGTTTATTACTCATCGCGGCGCGGTGACTTTTTTTTTTATAAACCATCGCGGCGCGGCAGCGGCAGAGTTTCAGCCGCGATGGACATCTCTGGTAAGAATGTTTACTTTTAGTTTTAACTGAACTTAAACTCGGAAGTTTTGCATTATAAAATCAGTCTTTTTGTGATTCGAATATTTCATAGATAATATGAAAACTACATCTGAAAGTTATAGAAGCCATCTCCACTGTAGATCTGTAGTCGATTTTTTTCATCGTAAAGAAATCTATTATATGAATGTGATGTTCTGAGCTTTATATAAAACATATTAGGTTAGTCTTCGTTTTTACACAATTTGTATTTTACTTAAAAGACAATAACAATATTGATGTCTGTACTGTATATCACTCACATCATAGAAGTTTATTTGATTAGTTTTTATATTCAGTTAATATTATTAATGTACAATTCAGACGAAGTATTTTTACTTCATATATATTTATGTGAACTATCAGAACGATTCAAATATTCAATAATATATTTACCTGTACATCATTCATTAACATCTGACTGATAGTTTTTCGAGCAGCTAAAATAAAAATTTCATTTGTTTTTTTTTCCTGTTTCTTTTAAATTTAAATTCATACTTTCTTGATAATAACTTAATTGTGCAATAAGACCAACAGGTACTTCAATACGATCCATAGATAAATAAGTCATGGTTACCCAAAGAAGTTTTTGAATAATATCATAACGTTGACACAATCTAAATACCAATAGAAAATGTGTATAAAGTTTTTAATAATTAAAATAACTATGCCTATCAAAATAGAATTTATTAGTGACTAAATTTAATTTATCTCATTGAATATATAAGAAAGAAAATCATTCTATAATAAACTTACTCTAATGTTCGTTCAAGAAATGTTTCACTTGTTTCAATTGAAAATGGAAACATAAATATATTACATGTTAATGTAATAACTTCAGTTGTTAAGAAAGAAGATGACCTTAATAATACAAAACAATTATTATTTAAATTTTTTGTTGTCAAATAAGAATTTTTTCTTTTTTTTTACTTCACATCAAGTTGTTCAGTAAGTTCTTTACTTAACATCATACTTAATGATTCAAACATAACACTTTCAGATTGAATCAATAGACTTAAACATTTATGCATACGCTAAAAAAGAAATATCAACATCATATATATGATTATCAAAAAAAAATAACAAAAATAATTTTTTAATACTTGAAAAAATAATTCTAATGTTAATTGAAGTAATTGATGAATACCATCACGTGATATTAAAATCCAATCAGGTGTTGTTATTAATGATATTTCTTCATTCATACTATTTGGATAAAATGAACGAAAAGCAGCACGAAGTTGTTGCCATAATATATAGAATAAACCACAATCAATTAAAGTACCAATGGATTTTTGTGGATCCTTATTAATAGAATGAAAAAACAAAACATCTTTATTTTTATTTAACTTACTATTTGTACAATATGAAATATTAACATAATTAAACCATCAAGAAGTCCATGATTAAATGGAAATCGAACAATAAACTAAACAGAAGATTTTTTTTTTCGTTTTAATAAATTCTTCTTCACTTACATCACATTCTGATTGAACAAATATAGTCGATAGACTATCAATATATTCTTCTGGATTTAAAAGAAATTTAGCACCACATGCAATAGCATAAACAAGATGAAGAGCACAAGCAGCACGTTGAGGTAGTGCTTGAGTTGTCATAGCCAATTGAGCTATATGAGCAGTTATTGGTTGAAGTCTAGCAAAAAGAATAGATTTTCAGGAAAACTTTATATTGTATGACGTAGAATGAAAGAGTAAGCATCGGCATTCGGAATGCATAGATCTTAGGTAAAGGGCTGCAGTGATCTAGACATGCACATATAATAGAATAATGGGGAATGGGACATTTCGCACCACCTTTTCATTACGATCACCAGTAGCAGATGTTCGTTACAATAAGAAAACTAAGACAGGGTGTTCGGAATGACAAAATCAATCAAAAATTAAAAAAACAGAGTGTTCGTAATGAAAGTTGTCCAGGACAAAAATCATTTCCGAACACCCGGACACATGACAGGAGTTCGGAACAGCGATGTCCATCGCGGTTGAAAACTGACCGCTGCCGCGCCGCGACGATAAAAGAAAAAAACTAACGCACCGCTACCGCACCGCGGTGATAAAAACAGAAAACCTACCGCGACGCCACCAAAAATAACCATGCCGCAACCGCGCCGCTGCCGCGATAGTTAGTTAAAAAAACGACCGCTGCCGCGCCACGATGGACATCTCTGGTTCGGAATGACTTAGTGCGAAATGTCCGTCACCCGAATAATGATGACGATGGTAGATGCTACAAGCCCCTTCTATTAATTCAAATTCGTAGAACCCGACAACCTTTAGTCTATTTTTATAACATTTAGTTATTTTCTTGAAATGATCGCATCAACTGAAAAAGTCAATATCAATCTGAGACTATCTTAGTTTTATCATATGTTTTTTCAATTTATTAGGACCAATCTGAATGATGGCTATTTGAAGTAACATTTTTTTAGTTCATACTTTTCAAATTTACGATCATCTTTGATTGTTGTTTGATTTCGTAGATCAATTCGTGTATTATTATCACTATAAAATAATAAATATATATATTAAAAAAAAACGAAAAAAATTCTAAGATAAAACTTTACTATTGTAATATGATTTGTTTTATGAGAACAGTACTAATATGAATTGATAATTCAATAGCTTCATCAAAATCTGATTCTTCTGTTGTTATCTAATAGAATACTAAAATGAATTAAAAAAATCTTTTAATTTCACATCATCTTACTTGACCACGAAGTAAACTAAGAAGTTCATTTGATAGAAATGAACCATCAAATATAAATGCACTAAAACGTGGTGTTGATAAACACATTCCATACATAGCCTAAATTATAAAAAAAAATAATTATTTCATTTTTCATTGCTAAATAATACTTTAAGAATATTTGAACAACATTTAGGTGTATGATATTGACCAAGCCAAACTTCACGAAATGCTGTATAATTTGAATCAAGTAATTTTAATGCAAGTGAATTTGCTACCTAAACAAAATGAGATTCATTCGAATTCTGAAAAAATTTCAATATAAATTGAAAATCCCAGGTCGAATTCACCCTGTCGAATCCGATAGAAATTCGCCGGAATTTGTCGGAATCCTAACCACAGGATTTCGACAAGTGGTTCTGGATGTCGGAAAGTGTCGGAGTTTCAGGAATTTCGCAGGATCCTGATTATTCCGACATCCGGAACCTCCTGTCGGAATCCTGTGGCTAGGACGCCGACAACTTCCGACGAGTTCCCGTCGGATCCGTTAAAATCCGGTAATTTTTCCGATATAATCCGACGTAATCCGACAGTCGGATCGAATCACCTGGGATTTTAATATTTTACTCCTAATTTCATTTTCAATACAATGAATCTGATAAATATTTTTATTCTAGAATATTTCTTAAAACTTAAAAATTACTTTAATTTTTGCTTCAAGTAATTCATCTGGTAAACATTGTGATGGATAAGTAAGAGCAGCCATAGTAGCAACAGTATACATTAATGTTTCATTATAAATTTCTATATTTGAATCTATAACAACAATAAAAAAAACACACATATATTTTTTTTTGTATACTGTTTTCGAATAAAACTTTTATTTACTTTCTGATTTAAAACTAGTTGTTATTAATTGAGCAATAGCTGGCCATATTTGACATTTATCTAAACGTATTGGATCATACCATGCTTGACAAAGTAATGGTGATGCATCTTCATATGATTCACAAAGTATAATTAATATCATTAATGTTTCACAACAACTATTATAATCTAATGATGATGCAATATTTAATATAGTTGATGTTTGTTCAAGAAATTCATGTGACATTATTAAATAAAATTTACATTGTTCTTCATCTAATTGTTGAAGTGTATATGCTGTTATTAATTCAAACCAAAGACGTATAACAATTAATATATCATAAAGAATATGAGAAAACCATGGCTTAAAAAAAAAACATTTTGAAAATATTCAAAAAATATTTTTTTTTCTCTTTTACTTCTTTTCGAATTGTTGAATGATCTAAAATAGCTTTAAGATGTTTTAATGGTAAATCAGGTATATGAATTGTATTTGTAAATGATATAATTAAATGTGGATCCATATCTGATTGTAATATAAAACGAATTATTTTCATCATATTACGATAAAATGAAGCACCATTTAATGTACATTCTAATAATTTTGATAAAATAATTGGTTGAATTATTTCAAATAATTTATAAAATGATTCTTGATGAAGTAAATTTAATAATTGTTCATTTGTTATTATTTCAATTTGTTCAGCATATTGTTCTATTTGTTGTTCATCAATTGTTCGATTTGTTAATATTGATGTATTAACATTTTCACGTACGGATGATACAAATTTATCTTCTTGTATTATTAAAGAATCAGGAATATGTGTTGATTGATTTATTTTTGATTCAATAGGTGGTGGTTGAAGTAATGGAGTTTCAATTTCATTATTTTGTATAGTTGGAATTTTTGTTTTCTTTTGATTTTTATCTTTATTTCCAGGTGATTTTTGTATATCCTTTTGTTTTTAAGAAATTAATTTATTATGCAAAGAAAAACTAATCTTATTTTACTTTTCGATGTTCATCTGGCATAAATTTTGAAAGAAGTTTCGATGGACCACGTGATACACCTTTAGCTTTAATTTGTTGTTGTTTTAAAATACGTTGTTCTTCAGTAGGTGGTTGTGTTAATGGACCAATAATTGATTCAGTTAAAAGTGGTACTATTTAATTACAAGAAGAATTAAGTTGAATTTCGAAAACAAAAAAAAAGAAGGCTATTATTTTACCTTTAACTCCTGTTCGAACAAATGAATGATGTAATAAATCTGGCCATGTTAAACGTTGAGTAGAATCTTTTGTAAGAAGACCTTCTAAAAAATTACGCATATCAGAACTTATTGGTTTTGGCCATTTTACAGATTCTAAATAAATAGATAATTTTATATATGAAAAAAAAATAATAATAATTTAAAGAATCATATACCTTTTCCAATCATTTTTATTAAATGAAAAACATTATTGGTAAAAAATGGAGGTTTACCATGATAAACTTCATATAATATACATCCAAGTGCCCTAAGAAATAATATACAAAATTATTTGATAACTAATACTCTACTGTTCTTTTTGTTTTAGTGTTAACCAGAGATGAGCATAGGACAAGGTTTTCTCTCCTGTCCTGCAAGTAGAGAGCTGCGGGTCCATGTTTTTTTGGACCCGGACCCGGTCGGGTCTAGACCCGATCCTTTTTTCACCAATATTTGGCACCCTATGTGTACATGAACAGAAAAGGGAACACAGTTTTAGCTCTTTATTAGCGACTTTAAAGGTAAAATGAGTGTAAAATTATTTCTGACTGTTTCTTTTTCAATTTTGTTGACTTCAATTGTTATTGTTATATATTTCCATTCATAACTTAATGCAGACCGAGTCTGACTTTTCTCTTAGGTTTAGACCCGGACCCGGGTCTGGAAGGACCCGCAGCTCTCTACCTGCAAGCTATGTTTGTCCTGGCGGGCGGCAGGACAGAACAAAAAATCAAAATCTCATCCTGTCCTGTGCTCATTTCTGGTGTTGACGTCAGGGCCCGCGCGAAGGATCAAATGGCCGGATAAAACTGAAAAATTTTTATTTTTGGGGGGAGGGGTGTACATCCCCCTAAACACCCCGCTCGCGCGGGGCCTGGTTGACGTTCAAAAAAAAATGGCTTTCTTTAAGTCAACTAATTATTGTCGAACGAGAACAAATTCTAAATCATCAATATTACATCAATCTTTATTTGAAGTCTATTGTTAATGAAACTCGAAACCTTTCTTTGATAGTTATGTAATTAAATTTAACTACAATAATAGAAGAACACATATGTTCGATTATCTTACATTGAAAAGTATAATGATAATATGATATTCACGTAATTCTACAGATCTATTATCATGTGAGTTTTAATTATTTGATTTGATCAAACAAAAATCTTCATGAATAAATTTATGAACTTGTTAAAAAACATAAAAAGAAGAATATAATTTTGATAAACGTTACTATTTTTGCAATACTATTAATATTATAATATCGCCCGCAGAATGATGTAACATTATACCTTTTCTAGATCTCAATTTAGATCGTTAGTATTGATAGAAAGAAAATTTCCTCGAGCTTTCAATAAATTTTTATAATGTCAACACTCTTAGTTATTAGTATGTTCTAAGTAAAAAAATATGATACAAAGATCAAAATACTGACAAGCATTAAAGAGGTCTATTGATAGCACTAAAATTTTCACACATTTCTAGTACTTTATTATTCTATGAATCATGATTTATAATCCTAACTTTCGTTTTTTGAAATACTTGAAAATGTATAAATCATTCTACTAGTTGAATAATATAATCTTACCATAAATCTGCTGAATGATCATATGGTTTTTCATCAACAAGTTCTGGACACATATATAATGGAGTACCCTAAAAAATTTTTTTTTTTAAATTATCAAAAAAAAAAATAAATGATAAATATTCAATACAAACTTTAATCGATGTTAATACCATTGTTTCCATCGTCATATTTCGAGCAAAACTAAATAAATTAAATTTTATAAAAATCTTCTATAAAAATGAAAAATAATTTAAATTTACCCAAAATCACATAATTTAACTTTTCCTCCAGGAAATATTAATATATTTTGTGGTTTCATATCTAATTAATAAAAATTTGATTTTTATTACAAAAAAAAAAAGGGAAGATAAACCTCGATGAAGAACACGATGAGAATGTAAATAATAAAGAGCTGATACTAATTGACAAGCAATTTTTTGTACCGTTTCTTCTGGTAAACTAACATCATCTTCTAATAATTGATAAAGATCAGCTAAACCACGTTCTGTAACGACAACAATCTTAACAAAAAAAGAAGAAGAAATCATAATTAACTATTTGCCATAAACATTTCGAATTACTTCATTATTTGTTTCAAAACTATTAATCATATCAACAATATTTTCATGTTTCATTTTTCGAAGTATATCAATTTCACGTCGTAAAAAATATAAATCTTTTTCAGTTTTACCTAATTTTGAAATAAATTTTAATGCAACATCCTTAAACAAAAAAATTTTCTTCTCGATTTTTTTTATAAAAATTTATGAAATAAATACAAACTCGTCCAGTATATTTTTCACGCCCACGATAAACTTTTGCAAATGAACCTTCGCCTATAGGCGATATAATCATATATTTTTCCATTGAATTTTATTTGTCAATTGATTTTTTTTTTATACTATAAAAATGTTAAAACGGTGAACTCATAAGCCATGGTCATTGTTGATTGAGGCTGTTGCTTAGTATATAGAAACAATATTAAAAAGAATTGATTAACCTTTTTTTTTTTTTGAATAAAACAAAATAAAATTTGATCTATGAAAAATTTAAATTTTTTGTTTTTCTTAATGAAAAAAAAAAAAAAATTAAAAATCAAAACGCCATCTGTCTCTTTATAATTGATTGCTTAGTTTCCTTATTTTCTCTTTGAATCAGCTTCATCAAGAATATCAATCAACTAATGTTCGTTTTATATTGCCTTTTGTCTTTAATGTCAATAAATACATTTTTTTTGCAATTTCAATATGAAGGTCATTTTATTATGAATGTATAAAGTGATTGGAGTAGAAAAAAAAATATTTTGTTTTTTTTTGCTGATAAACATGTCTCTTTCTTTAGTATAGCACAAAAAAGAAACAAGGCTTTATAAAGGTGGGTTAGATAATTGCATACGTAACATATTTAATGCAAATCAAAAGGCTGCTAAACACCTTTTTTGCCTGTGTATGAATGATGTAGGCTTCTATTCTTCTATATATACATATATCTATGTGTATATACACTAAGGACATGTAGTGCATGATTTTTTCTTCTACGTTCTTATATAATGTTTCTTTCTTTCCTTCTTGTAGAGCCATCACAATTATTCAAAATGTCGTTGTCGATTAAGCAGTGGCAAACGACAAAACTATCCGGCCTGTGTAATATTGTACATATATAGCCAATTTATTTATTAAATTTTTTCTTCTGTGTTAATTAATTACTTATACATTAATATTCTTATATTATTTTCTATTTATCGGTTTGTTTTTTCTTGAAAAAAAAAAAACAAAAAACCTAATTCCTAAAATGCCGTCCATTTTATATTCAACAACATGTTCTATTAAAAATGATTTCTATCGTTTACGTATATATGTTGATGATAGAAATGATGGTTTTAATACAATTTTATCTGAAAATATTCAATTAAAAACAGATTCTTTGGATTTTACAGCAACTAGCATTCCAATTAATCATATAGAACCTTCATTAACACGATTAAATTTTGAATTATTAAATGAAAAAAAATCCAATAATAATATTCCAACAACAATTACTCTTAATCATATACTTAATGTTCAACAAACAATATCATCACCAAAAAAATTGAATAGAAATTTTAGTAGTAGTCTACCTTTATCATCATTAGAAATAACAAATAGAAATATAAGTCCACCAAATAGTCCAATACTTGAACAATCTAGTGAAACAAATCGTATTATATTAACTTCAATTAATTCACCAATTATATTTAAACGTCAACAATTTAGTTTTCGAAGATTCTTGTCATCATTATCAAATACAGATAGTGATGCTATTTTATTATATAAAACAATGATTAAAATAAAATATATTGATATTACAAATTCAATTCAATGGAATATAAAATGTTTAGAACTTGAAATGGATACAGAAGATATAGCTACTGAATTATATACAAATCTTAATTTATGTTTATCAACATTAAAACAACGACCACGTCGTTTATTAGCTTTTGTTAATCCATTATCAGGCAAAGGTAATTAATTATACATGAAAATTAATGAAATTTTTTTTCTTCTGCGTAAAAAAGAAATGTAAAATGACGACTAAGTAAAACCCTATAGACACTAAAATTATTAAATTGCGTATTTGATTTATACGTTGTCTTGACCACGATTTTCATGAAAAAAACACATACTTGAATAAGAGATTGTACAGAACATTTAGTTTTTTTTTTTTTTCTTCTCTACTATTTCACTTTATTTTTTTTTAATGTAAAATTACGTTGAATCAACGCAAAATCATTTTATTATTATAGACACGTATTTATGATTAATTTGAAATGCATCATTTTAAAAATGTCGAGGTCAAAATATTTTCCTTGAAAGCATGACTTATCAAGTTATGTCATATCCGTCAATTAATAAACTTGAATAAAGACTCTAGAGAAAATTTGATTGTAAGAAATAAAAGAAAAATCATCAAATCATTTTTTCCTCTAATGTATTTCAAAAAATTATAATGTACTTAAAATAAGTTTATCATAGAAAGAATATTTACTGATGTTATCAGTATGTCTAAGTAAATATTTTTGTAAAGATAATATCTTATCATAATTATACAGTATGAAGATAAGAAAATTAATAAATAATTTTTCTTTTTTAAATAAATTTAAGGTCGTGCAAGACCTGTTTATGATAAAAAAGTTTTACCAATATTTCATGAAGCAAATATATCTGTTGATACAATATATACTGAATTTGCTAATCATGCACGAGAATATATTATTAATGAAATTCTCGATGATTATGATGGTCTTGTATGTGTTGGTGGTGATGGTATGTTTGCAGAATTATGTCATGGTCTTTTATTACGAACAACTCGTGATGAACAAATAAATATTGATAATCCTCAAGTGAATATTGTTCGACCTAATTTAAGAATTGGTATTATACCAGCTGGTTCAACTGATGCTGTTGTTTTTGGTACAACTGGTTTAAATGATCCAATAACAAGTGCATTACAAATTATTGTTGGTGAATCACTTTTAATTGATATAACAACAGTAAAGAAATTTTTAAAAAATTCTTTTCGATGTATTTCTTTTTTTTTTGCAAAAAAAAAGGTTCACAATGAAAATGGTTTTGTACGTTTTATGGCAACAATGCTTGCATATGGATTTTTTGGTGATATTATTCATCAATCAGATAATTGGCGTTGTTTAGGTCCATTAAGATATGATTTAGCTGGATTTTGTCAATTTTTACGTCATACATCATATCATAGTGAATTAACAATAACATTATCATCAACTGATTCAGTAGAAATATGTTATCCACAATCAATAATATCAATGAATAATGGTAGTCGAACATCAATGATTACACCTGATTATCAACAATTAATAAATAGTAGTAGTAGTTCAACATTAACTGAAACAAATTCATTAAATAAACCATATGATACAATAAATAAATTAGCAACATCAAATTTAGCATTTTGTCGTCAAAATTGTGAAAGATGTGCAGAAGATAAACAATATGAATCAAATAAAGATCAATTACCATTACAAATAAAACGTGAAGGAAGATATACAACTATTAATTGTCTTAATATGCCTTGTCGTTGTGCAAAAAGTAAATATGGAATGTCACCATTTACTCATCTCGGTAAGATCAATATTAAAGAAATTATGAACCTTATTCATGATTCTCTTGTTGACCACGTGAATATGCATAAAAACATTGACTACATAATAGCTCATGTATTGCTAAGAGCGTTCTCTTTCGCAATTACTTTGTTGACATTGTACAGGTAAACCGATCAGAAAAAGACTATCCTTAGCAACATATGAACTAATATATGATCACTTTTTATACATGTTCGTTATTAACATGCAAATCATGAATAAGTTTTATTCTCGTTAATCATTAATTGACTTTGTTTTATTATATTAGGTGATGGAACATTTGATCTAATCCTTGTTAAACGTTCTTGGCGTACTGGTTTTCTTCGTTTTTTATGGCAAGTTGCAAATGATAGTCGATCTATTGAAGATTTACCTAATGTTGAACGATATCGTGTTCGAGAAGTTCTTATACGTCCAATAAATACAGGTCAAAAAGAAGCAGGTAATTGGGCATGTGATGGTGAATTAATAAGTGGAAAAGAAATACAAATACGTGTTCATCGTCAAGCACTTAATTTATTTGCTTCGGGTATTAAATTAAAAGAAAAAAAAGAAAATCTTGATATTAAAACTGAAACTACAAGTTGGTTTCCTTGTTTCCGCATTAAAAAAGACAAAATTTCTCAAGAATCAAATTCTTAAATTTACAATGCGATATTTTCATAAACAAAAAAAAAACAAAAAAAATTTTTCTTTTTTTTAGTGTATATGCATTCCTTTTTCTTGTTGTCATGTTATCACATATATATTTTTTTTTTAATCTTCTTCTTTTAAATTGAATTATAATAATAAAAAAAAAATAATAAAAAAAGGAAAGTTTCTCTATAACAAATAGTATGATATTAGAATTAAACAATATTAGAAAAAAATTCAATTAAATTTTCATGATTTAATTCAATAGAAAGTTGTAAACATGTTTTTGTTTTCATTGTTAATTTTGTATTAGCACCTGCTTGAATAAGAAAACGAATTATATCAATATCATTATATATAATAGCAAGATGAAGTGGTGTTGCATCTTGTTTATTACGTTGATTTATATTTATATTTGGATAATATTTTATTAATAATTCTATAAGATCAATACGTTGAAGTGTAACACATGAATGAAGAAGACTATTTCCAGATTGTGTAATTGAATTTATATCAAAATTAGATAAATTCTAAATTAATATATTATATTAAATCATAAATTAATATTAAATTACTCAACTGATTTTAATAAATATTCAATCATAGAAATATTTCCCATAGGTAATGCATGAAAAAGAATATTTCGATTTTGTTCATCAAGATAATCACCAGTTAATTGTTTTGTTTTAATAAAATATTCAATAACATCAATATAATCTTTTCTAAATAGAATAAAAAGATATTCAATTAAAAAAAAAACAAACAATGTTTCAATATGATGAAATTAAACCGTAATGCAGTTAAAATTCGATTTTTAAATTGATCTGTTGAATTATTGAATACAAATTGATCATTTGTTTGAGATGAATATATTTCACCTATTAAAATATAATATTTACTATTAAAAATTTTTATTTAAATAGGAATTTAAGAATGATTGTATCAGTACTATGATTTACCCTATAGAACTAGTTATTTATCATAAGAACAACATTTATAAAGTTTCACTCAAGAGTCATAAAAAAATTTCTATTTTTTTACATTGTTTGGAAATGGTCCTAACAGTTTCATACAAGGATAT